CCAGCCATAAAAACACACCGAAGAGAATATATGGCCTCGTATCATCACCAGCATATGACAACGTTGACAGCAGTAGCGCTAGAATGATGAGCGGCGAAAAGGAGAGCGAAACCAAGCCACGGTATAAGCACATCTTCAACAGTGCTGGTAACATTAGATCACTGTTAAAGCTATTATCTTGGATATAACGTTTATGCTCCTCTAGCTGCTGATATGTTTCCTGTGTCACAACAAATGGCCGTTGCAGACGACGCAAACAATCGATGGCTTTGTTCTCATCGTTGTGCAGCAGATAATAAACGGGTGATTCGATGACCAAAAAGTATGAAAGTAGAAAAGTTATTACGGCAAAAGCAATAACAAAGATGCCATGCAGCTCTGTCGAACCAAATTTGTACTGAAAGCTGGGTATTGTATCGCTATTGCTGTATGCGAATATGCAACAAATTTGCAAGAATATACCAATTGTGAAGCTGCCCATCTCAAGCAATGCAGCAGCCTTGCCACGTTCACTGCTTTCCACCTCTTCGCCAATTAGAACCAACGTTGGTACAACTACGAGACCCACAGCGAAACCATTCAAGTAGCGAGCTGCTGCAATAGCGCCATATTCGTGAGGTAGAGACACAAAAAGTATGCCACCAACCAGAATTAAGAAAGAGGAAAACAACTGTAAAAGAAATAAAATTTTTATAATGAAAGAAACCTACTGTTATCCATTAATTTCACTTACGTATATTGGTTTTCTTTCCATGCGATGTGTAATGGATCCCGAAACTAAAGCGCCAATAATTACCGCAATATACCAGCAAATCATTAGGTGTGTATTTACCATGAAACCTTGAACCGCGGAGAAGCCACAACTCCAGGCTAGGTTCATGCCTCCCGATATCAAAACTAATGTGGCTGCAAGTAAAGAGGGGTAGAAAATTAAAACTCTTGTTATGTATTAGGATTAGATAAGATTAATATTTAGAAGACAGGAAGCGAGACGTATTTGCTGTTGTAAGAAGAGGGAGGCTGAAATACCTGAGTGCGAAAAGATTGAAAGCTGTGGAGAAGAAGAACTCGAGCCCTCAGTCGACGATGACGTAGTCGATGCTCCGCCACCTAACTATGACGAGGTACGAATAGCAATAGCAGGCTTGAAAAACAAAAAAATCTGTTGGAGCTGGCAGCCTGCTGCGCTGGCGGTGGGTGCATCAACTCTTATGCAGAATATGGTCATATAAGCGCATGTCCAACGACCAAAATTTAATTGTGTTCTGCCCAACCAACAAGTGAGGCGATCCCGCCATTCGCGCCAACTACCGCGGGATCAGCCTTCTAGGCATAGGTTACAAGGGTTTATCGAGTGTGTTGTGTGAAAGAACGAACTGATTGGGCCTTATCAGTGTGGCTTTAGGCCTAGAAAATCCATCATAGACTATACGCCAAATACTCGAAATGACCCGCTAGAAAAGGATCGACACTCATCATCTATTTGTCGACTTCAAAGTCGCTTTCGACGGCACTAAAAGGAGTTGACTATATGCCGCGATGCCCGAATTAGGCATCCCGCGAAACTGATACGGCTGTGTAAAACAACGTTGAGCAATACAACCAGCTCCACCAGAATTGGGAAAGACCCGCCGAGCCGTGTGTCACCAAATGGGGTTTCAGGCAGGGTGACTCCCTTTCATGTGACTTCTTTAATCTGATGTTGGAGAAGATAATAAGATCTTCAGAGCTGAACCGCTCAGAAACAGTTTACTACAAGAGCGTGCGTATGCGCGCGAAGTCTATTCTGCCTTTCCCAAGTTGGATAAGAAAGCTAAGCGGATGGGTCTGGTGGTAAATGAGGATATGACGAATTATCTCCTGTCATCAAACAAACAGTCAGCGCATTCGCGCCTTGGCATCACCGTCACTGTTGACAGTTATAATTTCGAGAAGCTAAGATCGAACGTCGCATGTAACTCATAATAAGATACGTATAAGTTCATACTTGGTTACAAGTCTTCAATAACTAAGCCACTTAACGCTTAAACGATCCTAGAAAGCGAAGTCTGGGCCTAGTAAAGGTTTCACAGAAGTCCATAAATTTCGGATTTGACCAGTGGTTCGTTGCTATACATTGGCTATTGAGAAATCCTAGTAATGCGAAGAAGTGTTTTTATGTATTATACTTATCGATATTTCCGGTTTGAAGAATTTAGCTAGTCGAATAAATTCGATACTTGCGAGTAACCCTGCGATAGAACAAGTAGTTACATTTTAATTTGCCACTTGAATAAAAAATTCAAGTTTAAAATTTTTTTTAATTTGGATTTAAGCGTAATTTTTCCAAAAAAAATCCCATCTACTAAGAAGGAAAATCGGTGGATAAATAAAAAAGTTGTGAATGAAATATGTATTACCAGGAAAGAATGTTACTCATACGCCATACTCGTATTTACATAGCCATCCTCGTACAGGACGCAGGAGTAACATTCTTTCCTACACATATTTCATAAAAAAATTACCACAAGTTTTGACGTAGCATACGTCTTACGTTTCGCTATGGAGGCTATAGTTGTAATTTTTAGAGTTTTACAAAAACGCTTATTGCGTGTGGCGTTTCAAAGATAAAATTCCAAGCCTATCTACGGTTTAATTTCGTCAGTAACCAATTCGGTTTCTGTCGTAGAAACAACGGTAAATATTGGCTTATTTTGGGGTCAATTTTGAGCCTTTAAAGTGCTCTAGGAACTTATGGTTTGCAGATTTTATATATGTAAGTTCAACAAATATTGAGCATTTTATTGCAAAAAATTGTTGAAAATATTAGCAAATTTTTTTTCATTACCAAAATGCTCGAAAACCGCTCGAATGATTTTGTTTTTGTTTTCTTTAATCAAAAATTCAGTATTTTTCCTTTCGTATGGTATATAGGAAGCAGGGATATTGCGAATATTTGCATTCGCATTCGTTATGCGAATGATTCGCATCATTTTGCACATTCGCGTTCGACATTCGCATTCGCAACAAATGATAAGAATGCTTTGCGAATGCGAATGTGTACATGGGTTTGAGAGTTACAAACTCGAAAGGAGAAAGTAGTCAAAGATTTAAAGTAGAAATTCTTAAAATAATGAAACTAGGTTATGGTTCTTCTCTTTTTACTTTTAAAATAAACATTTCTAAAATAAATGTTTTTTTTTTATTGTTTTTCGGTTTTGGTCTTTTTTTAGTGCCGTCTTTTGCCTTTTTTGCGATTGCTAGTGCCTTTTCCTGCCTATTTCGCTATTTTCTTTTGCCTTTTCTAGCCTTTTTCGTCATTTTATTTTGCCTTTTTTATAGGTTTTTAGGTCCTAAAAATCCGTTCCCTGCTTATAAGCAATCTAGAAATAATTTTAGATTCCTCCAGCGAAGGCGAAGGCTCGAATACAGAATCTGGAGACATTAAAAAATTTGAAATTTAAGCTCAATTGAATTGAAAAACGAGCTCATCTCGGTGAAAATCCTCTCGATTTGTGGAAAACTAAGCTAAAATACGACAAACAGACAGATCTGGCCCGCAAATATTACTTTTTTTTAAATAAAATATGCCCCTTTTGAACTTTGACTACTAGATTCAGATGTTATAATAATTTACAAAATTTTTAAGTAATAAAAACAATGACTTAAGTTGATTATAGATTTTTTAATGTTATACATAACATTCGCATTCGCACATTCGCATTCCGATAATTCGCATTCGCGAATGTGAAAAATATGACATTCGAAACATCCCTAATGGGAAGTATTGGTTGATATCTTCTAAGTATGTTTATTTGATTCAAAAATATGGGCATACATGATTTTCCATACAAAATCACTTTGTCATCATTTTGCAAACACGTGCTTGCGCTGGAAGTGTAAGAAGGAGAGAAAAAGTATGTGTGTACATAGGTATGTATGTAAATACATTAGACTGCATCACTCCCCATACAAAAAAAAATCGGTACTATTTTTCCATTGGAATTATAAAATCTATTATATTTTAAGACGTCCACCAAAATATTTCGAAAAAATATTAAGATTTAAGTGAGCTGGACCAATTTCAAAATACCTCCAAAAATGGAGTTTTTTATGAATAAAAATAGTTTCTTAAATTGTTTTTTTAAAAAATCCCCTCAAATGACAAAACGGTTTAAGCCTAAAAAATTTGCATAAAAATATTTAAAAAAAATTAAAAAAAAATTTGAACGGAATCGTAATGATGAGATTTTTGATGCTGTTTTTTAGCTTTTTTCAAAGTTTGGTATAAGAAAAACTTGAATAACTGAGCCTAAACTCTTCTGATTTAGACTTGAGAGGTGTCGGTGGAAAGGTATTTTCTCACCCTTTTTATTTATTTGCTAATAAACTCATTCAAAGGATGAAAGAGAAAGGTAGGATGAACGAACGTCATTTAAAGTTGAATTAAGATGTGTTGGTATTTGAAAAAAAAAATTTGGACACGAATGATTCTTTTTTGGGCAGAAATAAAAACAGTGTGAAAATACCTTTCTACCGAGATCCCATAAGTCTAAATCAGAATAGTGTTGGCCCAGTTATTCAAGTTTTTCGTAAATCAATCTTTGAAAAAAGTAAAAAAAACAGCATCAAAAAACTCATTATTACGATTCCCTTGAAAAGATTTTTAAATATTTTTATGCAGATTTTTTAAGCCTTATCGGTTTTGTCATCTGAGGGGACTTTTTTCAAAAAGTTCTTTACGAAACTATTTTTATTCATAAAAAACTCCATTTTTGGAGGTATTTTCAAATCGGTCCAGCTCACTTAAATCTCAATATTTTTCCCAAATATTTTGGTGAACGTCTTAAAATATAATAAGTTTTGTAATCCCGGCGGAAAAACCGCAACTTTTTTTGGTGATGCAGTCTAAAATACATACATACACACATATGTTGATTGCAGTTAAGCATAGTTTTCTGTTCCAGTTTCAACAGCAAGCAACACAACTTTCATGGCAGTTTAAAATACACTTGTACATTTTAGATTTTGTGAAAACTGACAGTTTATAGAATTCAGTAGCGGCGAACACAAAGGGGGGTTTAGGGGTTAAACCTTGCTCCAACCGGTCGTAAAACTTTACTCACGTACAAGGAAATTGCGAATGATTACTTATTATCATATGACTGGTTCGAACACCCCAAGAGAATGGCTCGTTTTTAACAGTTCTATTAACATTTTAGTAAGTCAACTTATCTTTGTACATAACGGTATAAGTAACAAATATGATTGCAAATGAACAAGAATTATTCAAAAATTTTCGAAAACTAACAATTAGCGACCGCTATGGTTAGCAGTGCGCGCTACCATTCCGCAGGGCCTGTGCTCAAGCCCAGTTTCCGAACAACATCAAAAAACAAAAAATAGAATAAACAAAAAAGTTTTTTTCTAATAGCGGTCGCCCCTCGGCAAGCAGTAGCAAAACCTCCGAGTGTATTTCTTCCATGAAAAACAGCTTCTCAAAAAAAATCAATCGCCGTTCGGAGTCGGCGTAAAACTGTAGGTCCCTCCTCTATTGTGTGACAACATCAAGGCGTAGGCCACGAATCGGAGGAGATGCTCGGCCATACACTAATGTATTATATGCAGGTCTAAAAGGTACGTTTGGCGGGTGTGCCTAGCTTATGTCCAATTTCTAGCTTCTGTTTCGGTATAAAATCCCCTTTTTTTGCTAAAAAGCTAAGGAAATTTTTGAACTAAGTAAAACTGCACGAAAAAGTATGACTTCTAAGAAAAATGTAAAAGACCATCGCATTGAATTATGCATGGACGAAGGTAGAAGCGATTCCTTATTGTTGTCATATTAATTTTCTTATTCAGTAAAAACCATACTCTATTATATTAGCTAGTCTTTGCTCTGTGCGGAACTGCACTGCTGTTGCAAATAA